TTAAAAAAAAAAAAAACCAACAGAAATTTATTTCTCAGAGTTCTGGAGGCTAGAATTCTGAGATCACATGGCTGAGAAAGAAAGAGCCCTGATCTCTTCATCCTCTTATAAGAGAACCAAGCCCATCATGCGGGCTCCACCCTCATGACCAATACAAATCCTAATTACCTCCAAAGGCCCCACCTCCAAATGCCATCACACTGGGAATTAGGGTTTCCATATATGAATTTGAGGGATGATATAAACACTCAGTCTATAGGAAATTGCTACAATATAAACGATAATCAAATGTAATAAGGATGTGGAAAAATTGGAGCCTTCGTACATTGCTGGTAGAAGTGTGAAATGGTGCACCACTTTGGAAAACAGTCTGGGGTTTCTTTAAAAAGCTAAACATAGAGTTACCATATGACCCAGCAATCCCACTCCTAGGGATTTTTTCAAGAGAAATGAAAACATGTCCATGTAAAGTTAAACACAAAATGTTCAGAGCGGCATTATTATTATAAGAACCTGAAAGTGTAAACAACCTAAATGTCTGTTAACTGATGAATGGATAAATAAAATGTGGCATATAATGAGATATTATTTGGCAATAAAAAGGAATGAAATACTGGCACATGGTACAACATGGATGGATTTTGAAAACATTTTCCTAAGTGAAAGAAGTCAGACACAAAAGACCAGATATTATAGGACTCCATTTATAGGACATGTCCAGAAGAGGCAAATCTACAGAAACAGAAAGCAGATTAGTGGTTGCGTAGGGCTGGGACAGACAAGGAGGGGGAAATAAGGAGTGACTGCTAATAAGTACATGGTTTCTTTTAGGGGGGACAAAAATGTGCTAACATTAGACAGTAGTGATGGCTGCACAACTCTGTGAACATACTAAAAACACTGTATTGTACGATTTAAACCGGTGAACCGTACAGTATGTAAATTATATTTCGATAAAGCCATTAAAAAAAATAAGGGAGACATTACCTAAAGCAACTACTGCTGAGAGATCAGCTAAGATTAGAAAGAGACCACTGGGTTGGGTAGGACGAAGGTATTTGTGATGCGGACCAACAAATATTTAGCGGAATGATGGAGACAGAAGACAAAAGGGGGGGACTGAAAGGGAATGACAAATGAAGTAGCATCAAAGAAGTTTTCTTGTGGGGCGCCTGGGTGGCTAGGTCTTTTAAGCGTCTGGGTCATGATCCCATGGGATTGAGCCCCGCATGGGACTCCCTGCTCCGCGGGAAGCCTGCTTCTCCCTCTCCCACTCCCCCTGCTGGTGTTCCTTCTCTTGCTGTGTCTCTCTCTGTCAAATACATAAATAAAATCTTAAAAAAAAAAAAAAAAGAAGTTTTCTTGTAAAGGGCTGCAGAGATGGGGTGATGGCGAGAGAGAGGGATATAGAATAAAAAGAGGGTTTATTTTCATAAGATGACAGATAATAGCTCATGTTTGTTGATGCGAAGGAATCAATACAGTGGGAGAAACTGACAATGAAAGAGAGAGAAGGTCTGCTGTTGAATTAAAGTCCTCGAAATGCGGACGCATGAAAAAGCACTAATGGAAAGGCTGGTACGTATTCATTTCACCAGGAAGGAGGCAGAGCGCCCAGGCACCGACTCCGGCACACCGCACACAGCGTTAGGAAGATGAGAAAGGGCTGCTATTTTCTCCACGGAGTCTCAAGCAAGGTGATCAGCTTCAAGTAAGGACGATGGAGTCTATCAATCACATTGCTATAAAACAAAATCATCCCCCCAAACCTTAGCAGCTCATGAGATCCTGTTTTCCTCACAGTTTCTCGGATTTTCATCTTTGCCCAGAAGCCAGTTCTTAAATTTAGCCTTGTTTGCTTTCTGAAGATGCCGGGAAATTTTAGACTGATAATTCCTGGTTCTTTTGTGTTTAAGTATCTTTTCTTTAACAGGTCTCTCTCTTCTCTCAACATTTTACCATAAGCAGAAACTATAAGAAGAAGCCAGGCAGCATCTTTACCATTCCGCCTGGCGATTTCCTTAGCTAAACCACCCAGTTCTTTATGGACATTTGCTACTTTCCACATGAACACAGATGACAGACAGTGTTGCTAAACTTTCCACTTCTGCACAAAAAGGATCCCTTTTCCTTCCATTTCCAGTAATATGTTACTTTCCTTTAAGCCTTCCACCCACAGTCTCCTGAAAAGCCAGGAAGCTTCTTCTCACAGACTCTTCAGGATGCTTCAATTTTTCTCTAACATTTTCCTCAAAGTCCTTTCAGCTTCTGCCTACTGCTTCGTTCCAAAATTTTTGGAATTTTTTAGGTTTGTTATAGACGAATTCCACTTTCAAGTGTCAAGATCTATAGTAGTTACCTATGACAAATCACCCCCAAACTCGGCAGCTTGAAACAACAAACAGTTATTATCTCATAGTTTCAGTGAATCAGGTATTTGCAGAAGGCTTACCTGGGTGACTGGGGTTCGGGGTTTGCCAGAGGTTGTCATCAAGATGTCAGACAGGGCTGGAGGATCTGCTTCCAAGACTGCTAACCCACAAGGCTTTTGGCTTTGACCTCATCCTTCCCACGAGGCCCTCTCCATAGAGATGCTTTTTACATGGCAGTTGGACTCCTTCAGGGTGAGTGATCCAAGAGGGACAGAGACCAAGGGAAGCCACAATGCTTTTTATGACCTAGTCTCAGAAGTCCTACGTAGTCACTTCTTTTTTTTCCAGTTTTGTTAAGGTATAACTGACAAAATTACAATATATTTAAAGCATACAACATGATAATTTCATATATATATGGTCACTTCTGCCATATTAGTTTGTTTGAAATGAGTCACCAGGTCCAGCCCATATTCAAGGGAGAGGGGACTTAAACTCCACCTCTTGAGAGGAAGATTATTAAAGAATTTGTGGACATATTTTAAACCACCATAAAGAGGAATGAAGAAGGCCTGTGGAGAGAGATGAGAAACAGCTGTTTCTGAGAGTGGTGAAATGAATGTAAGATTGCTAGAAAATTTAGAAGTATTTAAAGAAAATTTGGAGTTCCCAGTTACGATCTGTGATAATGAATTAAAAGGATCAGTCAAGCCCCCTGAATTTGTTGGCCAGATTAGATGCCTCTATCCCATGCTCACTCCTATTGCTTTCATCAGAGAGATTTGCGGTATTTGTTTACTTGTCAGTTTCCCCCACTAAATTATGAGACTTTCAGTGTCAAGGACTGTGAACTCGCCCTCACATGACAGATATTTAATGAATATTTGTAAAATCATTAAATCTGTTTCAAACTCCTGCCTTTAGTCAAGAAAAGAGGAGGGACAAGATGGAAAAGGAAGCTGCAACACAGCCCAGAAACAGAGGAGGGTGGAAACAGTAAGGTAGATGGGCACTTGCAGGGTCACAACATAACCTGGAAAGAGAAGAGCATCATTAAACTTGCCAAAGAAACTAGGTTATTACTAACCAGTTCTCTAGGTTTGCCACTAGATAGAATTCAAGCTAGCTCTGCACTCCTCCCAATCCAGGCTTCGAGACCCAATTCTAATAAAACATGGAGTGTTTTCTATCATAGTCATAACAAATTACCTCAAACCCAGTGGCTTAAAACAACACAAATGAATTAACTTCCAGTTTTGTATGTAAGAAGTCTGATGCCAGTTTCACTGGGCTAAAATTAAGCTATTGACAAGGCTGCATTCTTGTCTCGAGGCTATAGAGGAAAGATGGTTTCCTTCTAGAGGCCACTCACATTCCCTGGCTCATGGCCTCCTCCCTCCATCTACAAAGCCAGTCTAGTTTCTTTCACACTTCAAATTTCTGTTCCTTTTTTCACTCCCATCTATCAATCTCTCTCCCCACTCCCCTTTCTCTGACTCTGACTGCAACCAGAAGAGGGGCCCTTATGATTAGAATGTACCCACCCAGATAGTCCGAAATAGTCTCCCTCTCTCAAGGTCTTGGCCTTAATCCTATCTAAAAGCACTTTATGCCACATAAGGTACCACATTCACAGGTCTGGGGATTAAGACATGGACATCTTTGTGGAGGTTGTTATTCTGCCTAGCACAAGGCTACAGAGATAGAAGAGGAGATGATGCCCAGATGGGAACTAAAGGAGACCATACACTCATACAGGTCATAAAACCAACAAGGATTTAATTAAGTGCAGAAGGAAATTTTTAACTTTGATTACTCAGTTTACTTAGCACTACACAGGAGGTCAAAAATTCTAGATGGTGAAGCAAGGCACAGGAGGTAAAGAGAAGAGTGGGTACCAAATCCGGAAAATACCACAGACAAATTTCTGTGCCCCAAAACTATCGCTGCGATTTGGTGGTTTCAAAGTTAAACACAAACAACCATATATTGCTTCTCTTCAGTAAGTTACATATCTCAAAATAGCTCAAATTCCTTGTTTTCCTTCCAAATGCAATGTTCCATTCACAAGCCACCAGGTGGCAGAGAAGAGTAGAAAAATAAATTCTTAAATCCAATAATTTTTTAAAAACCCAAAAAATAAAAACCAAAAAACAACTTTTCTTATACTTGGAAAAATCCAGCCCTCTGGAGGTGGTGGAAGGGGGGGGGGGGCAAACGCAAACATTTTAAGGTAGAAAAGCACCTTACTTTTTTCAAAAGCTTCCAGAGACATCAATTTCACAATTTTCCTCCAGGTGATACTGGAAAAATCTGTTAAAAATGTGTATCAAGACAGTGTAGCCAAGATTAGCTCAAAGTAGTTAAGAAGCAAATGTATAAGTTCAGAAAAAAACTAAGAATCACTTTAAACTTAAGAAGAAGCTCCCAAAACCAAACAAACAAAAAGGTCAAAAAAATAAATAAAAATAAAAATAAAAAAATAAAACCCACTGCCTTGGCCCAGCGTCTCCCTGAGGAAACTCAACAGCTGACCCCTGGTCATCCCCACTCAGGTATCCTTCAGACACCTCACATTCAACTTGTCCCACACAGGGAACTTACCATCCTCCTTCCACACTTCCTCTTCCTCCTGTTGCCTACTTCAGTGAAGAGCATTATCATCCACCTGGTTGCCAAATTCAGAAACCTGTAGGTCATCCTTCTTGCTTTGATAAACTTCCACCTGCAAACAGTGAGTATTTTATCATTCCTTTTTCTTCATCTACTGGAAATAATCCACTGGTTTTCCTCTTTCAGTAGTTATCCCAGAAATGACTGTGTGCATACTTACTTTACGAAAGCCAGTATCTTTACCCTATCTTCAGGTGATACGAGGATCTTTTAAAATGCATTATCCCCCTCCTGGATTAAATTATGGCTGTTGTTACTGTTGTGTATTTTACTTATTTAACCATCCTGGGACATTATTATTGCTGTTTTATAAAATCAGTGTTTACCCATACATTTGCCACCTTCTTTGCTCTTCTTTCCTTCTTGTACCTCAGCTCCTCCCTCAAGAATCACTTTTGTTCTGTCTCAAGTACATCCTTTAGAATTTCCTATAGGTAGCATCTGCTAGAGAGCAATTCTCTCTGCTTTTTGTTTGTCTGAAAAAAAAAAGTCTTTCTTTCACCCTCATTCTTGAAAGATATTTTTAATACCAGTTCTACACTGGCAGGTATTTTACGTGAGCCCTTTAAAGATACCATTCCACAATCACCTGATTTATATTGTTGCTGTTAGGAAGTTAACTATTAACCCAACTACTGCTCCTTTGAGGGAAGAATGAAGCGGGGGAAATCGGAGGGGTAGACGAACCATGAGAGAGGATGGACGCTGAAAAACAAACTGAGGGTTCTAGAGGGGAGGGGGGTGGGAGGATGGGTTAGCCTGGTGATGGGTATTGAGGAGGGCACATTCTGCATGGGTGTTATGCACAAACAATGAATCATGGAACACTACATCTAAAACTAATGATGTAATGTATGGGGATTAACATTAAAAAAAGAAAAGAAAAGAAAAGAAAGTCACCCACTCTGTTCCTCTGGTACTTCCGAGATTTTGTTTTGAGTTTCTATAATATGTCTTGGGTGGATTTCTTTTTATTGACCCTATTCAGGATTATTGAGCTTCTTTAATTCATTCTAAAAGACTTTCAGTCATTATATCTTCAAATATTGCCTCTGCACCATTCTTTCTCAAGTTTTCTTACGTAACCCCAAATAAATCCTCTTACTCTACCCACCACACATCTTAATTCCACTTCCATGTTTTCCATCTTTTTTGTCTCTCTTGAAAGCATTCCTGATAGTATCTACAGATCTATCCTCTAGTTCACTAATTCTCTCTTTAGCTTTGATCAATCTTCTGTCAAACTGTTAAACTGAATTTTTATTAGGTTATATATTTATCATTTCTAGAAGCTCTATTTGGTTCTTTTTCAAATATTTTCTGCTCCTTTTTATAATTTTCTATTTCCTGAAGATAATTTTAGGCTTGTATTTTATCTTTTTAAATATTGTAAGCATGGTTGTATTAGCCATGGAAGACTAAGATATGTGGCAACAATAAATGACTCAAATATCTCAGTAGCTTACAACTACAAACATTTGTTTTGTGCTTTCTGTGTTCACTTTGGGTCAGCTGCAGTGCTGACCCACATCTTCTTTGCTATGGGACCAAGAATGACAGATAAGCCATTATCTGAAACATTAATGCCTGTCATGGGAGAAAGCAAAGAGATCTATGACCAAGCACAATGTAACCCTTAAATCTTCTGAAAGAAGCAATATACGTCACCTCTGCTTATTTTGAGTACAATTCTCTTGTAAAGATGGGCACCAAATTCCATGAATAATATTTAAAAAAACCCATCACAGCCCATGCTTCTTATTATTAAATATTAAATATTCAGTTCCCACCCCATCACATACAAAATACTTACCTCCTCCCCAAGGGAGAAGACCAGTCCCACACAGTCACTGCTTTGAGCTCAAAGTCCAAGATCTCTGATATGTGTTCATTTCGACATCAGATCTAGAAGAGGTTCATTTTAACCTAGATACCTGTTAACTAGTAATCCAAGTTATCTGTTCCACCCCACTCCAAAATATATACATGATAGTAGAACAGCGTCAGGCTAATGACAATAAACCCTCTCATTTGGAAAGGAGAAAGATGGAAGACACAATTCTAAATCCCACTGGGCAGACAATTACAAGCGTTCCTACTCTAGGAAAGTGGACTATTTCTTGAATAGGTCTTGTTTTCTCTACAGAGTGACTCCCTAAAACACTGCTCACCGTGGCCCTTGATTCTGCCCTCTGGCAAGGTGTTCCTTTTCAATTATTATTAGTCATTCTGAAGAGGGCCCTGGAAAATATGCCCTGCTTGAGGACTTAGCAGCTTTCTCTACATGTTTCCTTCCCATAGAATTATGGGGCCAACAATTACAGACTCTTTGAATGCAGGCTGGTGGTACTTTTGATGAAAAATTCTTTCTCAAAAACATACTTGATTTTTTATTTTATTTTAATCAGCTCCCTATATTAATAGCCATACCCATATTTCCTTTTTTTTTAAGATTTTATTTATGGGGGCACCTGGATGGCTCAGTTGGTTAAGTGACTCCCTTCGGCTTGGGTCATGATCCCAGGGTCCTGGGATCAAGCCCACATCAGGCTCCCTGCTCAGCGGGAAGCCTGCTTCTCCCTCTCCCACTCCCCCTGCTTGTGTTCCCTCTCTCGCTGTGTCTCTCTCTGTCAAATAAATAAATAAAATCTTTAAAAAAAAAAAAAGGCAGGGGAGTAAAAAAAATAAGTAGATATATACATATGTAAGCCCTTGATAAATGACAGAGATGCCACTGCAAAGTAGTGGGAGAAGATGGTCTTTTCAATAAAAGGTTCTGGGATAATCAAGTATCTATGAGAACAAAATGAAATTATACTTCTAACTTACACCATAAAAATATCAATTTCAAATAGATTATAAACCTAAATGTGAAAGTCAAAACTGAAAACCTTTTGGGGCCGCCGGGAGGGTGGTGCGCCGTGATCGTATAGTGGTTAGTACTCTGCGTTGTGAAAACCTTTTGGGGATCCTGGGTGACTCAAGTCACTTAAGCGTCCGACTCTTGATTTCAACTCAGGTCATGATCTCAGTGTCGAGAGATCAAGCCCCATGTCGGGCTCCATGCTCAGTGCAGAATCTGCTTGGGAGTCTCTCTCCCTTTGCCCCTCCCTCCACCATGCATGTGCACACTCTCTCTGTCTCTCAAATAAATAAATCTTAAAAAAAAAAAAAAAAGCTGAAAAGCTTTTAAAAGACTGTACAGCAGAATATCTTCATGAATTCAGGACAGGGAAGAATTTCTTAAGCAAGATGCAAAAAGCACTAAAGATCGATCAGTTCAACTGCATTAATGTTTGTTGAACTTAGAGGTGAGAAAGAACATAATGAACTGAATCAGAAAATTACAGCAAAATAAAAGGTTAAAGGGGTACACCTAATTGGACTGAAATTCCACAAAGTTGGAAAAGTGATCTGAAATGGCAATGGGGAACTTGAGATAGATAGATAGACAGACAGACAGACAGCAGACAGCTATAGCTAGATAAAGCCAATTCCATTAAGTGCAATAGTCATGTTCTATAAATTTGCCATGAACAGTGAATTAGTGAACACTAGGAAAAACAGAGTTGGATTCTTGTGAGTCTCTAGTCACGTTTTTAACATCAATCAATACATAACCTTGTTTTGAATTTTTGTTTAAAGATACTTCTGTTTAGCTTATAAAGCCAGAAGAGAGCTCTGAGGGGTCCAGTGGTCCTTTACCTGCTGAGGTCTTCGGAGGGCTTAACCTCCCTGGTTGTCACAGGATTCAGAGACTGACATGGCCCAGCTGGTGATAACACAGCTGCTACTCCTTCAGGTGGGGGTAGCCGCAGTATGGGCAACCCAGCCCAGGACTGAGCTTCTCAATGTCTGTATGGATGCCAAGCCCAGAGGACGAGCTGCACAAGCAGTGCAGCCCCTGGAAGAAGAATTCCTGCTGCTTTGCCAACACCAGCTGGGAAATCCATAGGATATTTCCCACCTGTACAGATTCAACTGGGACCACTGCGGACAGACAGCACCTGCTTGCAAACAGCACCTCATCCAGGACACCTGCCGGTATGAGTGCTCCCCCAACCTGGGGGCCCTGGGGCCAGCAGGTGAGCCACAGCTGGCACGAAGAGCGTGATCTGAACGTGCCCCTGTGCAAAGAGGACTGTCAGCACTGGTGGGAAGGCTGCCACACTTCCTACACCTACAAGAACAACTGGCACAAGGGCTGGGACGGACATCAGGGTATAACCGGTGCCCAGTGGGAGCTGCCTGCTACCCCTTCCATCTCTACTTCCCCACACCTGCCGCTCTGTGGAGTGGGATCTGGAGCCACTCCTACAAACTCAGCAACTACAGCTGAGGGAGCGGTCGCTGCATCCAGATGTGGCTTGACCCAGCCCAGCGCGACCCCAACAAGGACGTGGCGAGGTTCTGTGCTGAGGCCATGAGTGGGGCTGGGCTCTGTGGGCTTTGGACTCTCCTGCTCAGCCTGGCCCTGATGCTGCTCTGGCTGCTCAGCTGAGCTCCTTTTACCTTCTGATACCTGCCCAGCCCTGCCCTGTTCAGCCCCATAGCTCCCAGCTCACTTCCTGTTCCTTGGGGGCGGGGCTCTGACTGACAGTTTGAATAAACCAGACACCCAACATGTAAAAGACAAAAACAAAACAAAACAAAAAAATAAATAAAGAGACTTCTGTTTAAAGATACTTATTTAATACACTCATGCAACAGCTGTATAACTCACGCCCGAATGAAGCTTATCTAACACAGATACTTAATCTGTAAGGCACATTACAGCCTTCCTGCACTTGGGAATACTGGACAGCACTCCAGCACTATAGATGGGGGACTATTTTAAACAGGGAAATCACCAACAAAAAGCATAAAAATGTGAAAAATATGGCACTAAATAGACCACAAAAAGGACACTTGAATACAGTATGAGAGCTGAAACAGAGAGTCCGAATAGTTACCTTGTTCAGCGTGGTGCTCATTGGGTGATCTGAAGTTTTCACCACTCCGCATATGTCCACGAACAGCCACTAAAGCAGGGTATTGGATTTGGGGGTTACAAATAAATTTTAGCAAACAAGTGAATTCACAATATGGAATCTTTGAGGATCAACTGAATGTACACGATCTGTGAGAAGGGCCATGTGAAGTTCTGAATGAAATGGGCAAGAGGGTCTAAGAGGGGAACAGTACCTGCAAGGCCTTGCATTGTGAGGAATACCCAAGGACGAAAGAGATGAAAGGAATATTTGGAATTAACTGACCCCAACATTTCAAATAAAACTCTAGTGAAAGTTCTTTTGGAGGTTTTCATGCTTTGACACATTTATCCGCCATACCATCACAGTACACTGTTTAGGCCTGGATATGAGGGTGTACCCAACATGTCCAAACATCACTGTGTCCCAGACTGTCACTTCCCTAGGATAATTCCTAGAAATGAATGTGGGTTAATACTGACTCACAAATGAGGTTCTTGTTGATAATGTGATACTGTTTGTAATGGGGGTAGACCATCAAGAGGAAATTTGTTAAATTATGTTTTATCCATAAGTTATTATTATCAAAGGAGTAGTTTCTTTGAAATATCTCCTGGCTAATATTACCAATTCCCACCTCTACTTCTACCCTCCCTCACCAAACCTGATCAGCCATCATGAAAGAGAGGTAAGAGAAGGTGAGATCCGATCCTAAGACAGGTATAAAAGTGAGCCACCAGCTCAGAGTTCCTGTAAAGAGGATCCCACTGCTCCCTACTAACACTTCTCTCGAAAACTGGAGTTGGGAGGGGTGCCTGGGTGGCTCGGTCGTTAAGCATCTGCCTTTGTCTCAGGTCATGATCCCGGGGTCCTGGGATTAAGCCCCGCATTGGGCTCCCTGCTCTGCGGGGAGCCTGCTTCTCCCTCTGACTCTCCTCCCTCTCATGCTCTCTGTCTCTCATTCTCTCTCTCGCAAATAAATAAAATCTTTAAAAAAAAAAAAAAAAAAGTGTAGAGCTATGGGCGCCTGGGTGGCTCAGTCGGTTAAGCGGCTGCCTTCGGCTCAGGTCATGATCCTGGAGTACCGGGATCGAGTCCCACGTCAGGCTCCCTGCTCAGCAGGGAGTCTGCTTCTCCCTCTGACTCTCCTCCCTCTCATGCTCTCTGTCTCTCATTCTCTCTCTCGCAAATAAATAAAATCTTTAAAAAAAAAAAAAAAAAAGTGTAGAGCTATGATTTTTATATGACTAAAAGTTGACAAAATATCAAAGACAACTGAATTTAAGTATTATTGCACATGTCTGGATATAATGTTGATAAGCTGGCAATGAATGGATAAATAACAAAAATAAAGACACACATAATGCATAAATTATGATATGTTCCAAAAAATGTATTTTTCTTAACTTAATTTCATTAAAATCACTAGTTATGTTGTTATAAACAAGATTTTCTCATGATTTGTGTCATATTGCCAGTAAGTATCTAAAGGATTAAAAATAAAATATAATTTATTCAAAGTATACAAAATTTGAACATACTGTCATCAAAATATATATATTAATTGTGCAAAATCAAAAACTAAATTTTTTTTTTAAAGATTTATTTGTTTGAGAGAGAGAGAGCACAAACGGGAGGGGCAGACGGAGAGAATCTCAAGCAGACTCCTCACTGAGCACAGAGCCAGACGTGGGGCTCTCCATCTCACAACCCTGAGATCACGACCTGAGCCAGAACCAGGAGTCGGACGCATTTAACCCAATGCACCACCCAGGAGCCCCTAAAATTATTTTTATATTTGTTTTCAAATGTAATCTTTTTTTCTAAACTGCCAAAAATTACCTATAAAATTAAAAGGTAATATACAAATTATAATTAACAA